AATATAAGTCCTATATATATATGTTTTTTCTCATTTAATCTTTTAAAAGAGGTTATGATCAATATATCATTACTCAAAGTTATTGAATTAATCTTTGCATCTCTCTTTGTTCCAAAGTATAACACTGTGAAGGAAAAAGAGTTGAAATGTGCTTTAATGTTTTTTCTTAGTACTGTTATTAATCATGGCCTAATCATTTTTCTTAGTTGGTTTAAAGGTTAATAATTGTGTACCATTAATTTCATTATTAATCCATTTGTGCAAAGTGTGGTGTGATTTATAACCTAAGTGAAGTGATTTTTAAGAAAGACAGTAAGTCTGCCTTTTGCCAGACTTTCAAGGTCCTTTTGCTGATAAACAACAGCGCAGCTGGCGCAGCTCTTGTGAGAAAGACACCTTGTTTGTTTTCTCACCACCTCACTCTTTCCCTCTCAAGAAACTAATATTTTCTGTTCTCGCCAGTTAACGTGAGTTGTTCTTCGTCTGTTGGAGTGCATGGTTCTGTCTGAGTCGCTCTGAGGAGAGGTGCCGGATGGGCACCTGCCTGTGTGGACGGAGTCTGGATGTTACTAATTTGCCATGAAGCACTGGACTGAGACCAGGCACTTTGAGCCCGCTGAGGTTCCTTAGGGGTGAGACAGGAGTCCGTCTCGGCCCCTTGCTGTCAGGAGACACCATCCACCTGCGGACTTCGCTGCTGTCACTCATCAGAGTGTCACTCACAAACCTTCTGCCTGCCGGTTCGGCTCTCTGYCCTCAAGACATCAAAAGGTAGAAGGAGATGTTTGCTGAGATAAAYGGAAGTCTAGCTCCGGAGGTGTCACAGTCTGACAGCTGATGTGCTGTTCTGGTTTGCACTTATGAAAAACAAGTGCCAATTTACTAATTCTCTTTTCCTCCTATTTCTTAAAGCTAAATCTTTACCTTTTTCTCTCTTATTTACTTAAAAACTTAGTTAAGCAGTGTGCCAGTGAATTACAACACCTTAAATTTACTGTTTGTGTCAAACTGCAAACTACTGTTTACTGTGT